TTCACCATGTTGACCAGGATGGTCTCGATCTCTTGACCTTGTGATCCACCCGCCTCGGCCTCCCAAAGTGCTGGGATTACAGGCTTGAGCCACCGCGCCCGGCCCTGTCTTTTCTTAATAGTATTACAGGAAGTGGGTATTGAAATATCCTATAATTATATTGCTTTCTATGTGTTTCTTTAATTCTGCCAGTATTTGCTTTACATATTGGGAATCCTATGACTGGGCTTTGTGGCTTATGCCTGTAATCCCAGCACTTTGGGAGGCCAAGGCAGGTGGATTGTCTTTGACAACACCCTGTCTCTTTGAAAATACAAAAAAAAAATTTGGCAGGCGTGGTGGCATGCTACTCCCAGCTACTTGGGTGGCTGAGACTGGAGAATTGCTTGAACCTGGGAGGCAGAGGTTGCAGTGAGCAGAGATTTCATCACTGCACTCCAACCTGGGCAATAGAGCGAGATTCGTCTCCTTCCAGACTTACGCATATACAAATTTGTCATAGGTTCTCAGTGAATGAATCTATAATTGTTTAATGTTGTTCTTAGTCTCTTTGGAGTTTCTACTTAAAGTACATCTTATAAAATATGACAGTTTTTGAAATTAACTTTAAGTATATTTTATAAAATATGACAGTATCTTGTGTGATATTATTTTGACTTCTCTCACTTGGCTAATATTTACATGAAATTTCTATTTCCATCTTGCCACTTTCAGTCTTCTTTTATCATTAGATCTTCACTTACTCTTGTAGAAAGGCAAGTTGGATCTTGATTTTTAAAAGTTTTATTATAAATCCCTTTATTGGAAGTATATCTCTTGTTTGGAAAGTTAAATTTATATATATTTAGATAATTTTCTGAAAGAAAAACACTAATGTTGTTTTATTATTTCATTTTTATATCTTTGTCCATCATTTTCTCTTTCTGTTTTGCTTTGTGTGTTTAAAATTTTTGTATTGATATGCTTTCACTACTTTCTTTTTGTGTGTGTGTATGTCTTTCTGTACAGATGTGTTCTCTGTGGTACCTTCGGTATTAAAAATTTCTCAACAGTAAAAGTGTGTGTGTGTGTTTGTGTATTTTTTTTTTTTTTTTTTAAGATGGAATTTCGCTCTTTGTTGCTTAGACTAGAGTGGAGTGGCACGATCTCTGCTCACTGCAGCCTCTACCTCCCAGGTTCAAGTGATTCGCCTGCCTCAGCCTCTTGAGTAGCTGGGATTCCAGGTGCCCACCACCACACCCGGCTAATTTTTGTATTTTTAGTAGAGACAGGGTTTCACCGTGTTGGCCAGGCTGGTCTCAGACTTTTGACCTCAGCTGATCCTCCCACCTTGGCCTCCTAAAGTGTTAGGGTTACAGGCATGAGCCACTGCGCCTGGCCAAAACAATATATTTGAATGTGGTAAAACATTAACTTCAGTTGCATACAAAAATTCTTTCTCATTACATCTGCCCTCAACTTTGTTATTCATGTTGCTAATTATATCTTTTTATGTTGTATATTGATTAACAGATTTCTATAATAATTTCTATGCTTTTATCTTTCAACTTTTAGATAATTAAAAATGTTTTCTCCATTGTGATAATTCTAAGCAATTTTATTTTTGTGTATGTGCATATCATTCCCAGAAAGTTATGTATTTTTATATAATTATGTGTTGTTTTCTTGCATCATGTTATTTTCAGCAGAAGGAACTCCTTTCAGTATCTTTGATATATAGGACATATGTTGGGTATACGCAGTGCCCATATACTTTCTCAGGATTTGGTTATTTTGGAATGTGTTTTACTTTTTATTTGGTAGGACAGTTTTGCTGACTGTTTTATTCACTTGATAGCTGTTTTTTTCCAGGATTTTGAGACTATCACACAGTTTACTTCTAACCTGTAATGTTCTTGCTGACAAATTCACTGGTAGTTATGTAAGACTATGCTTGTAAATGACACATCACTTTTGTCTTGCAGCTTCTAAGATTCTCTTGTCTGTGACTTTTACAATTGTGCTGTATATTTTTTTGTTATAAATATCTTCTGTGTATATCCTAGTTTGCTGAACTTCATTTTTATATTTTTTTACTTTTAGAATTTTTCAGTTATATTTTTATCTTTACAATTTTTGTTTTTGTAACAATATTAGTATTTTTATCCTCCTTTTTCTGATTTTCAGTAGTAGATTATGTTCCTATTTTACTCATTTAGTGTTATTTGATTTATCTTAAATTTTTTTTTTTTGAGATGGAGTTTTGCTCTTGTTGCCTAGGCTAGAGTGCAATGGCATGATCTTGGCTCACTACAACCTCCGCCTCCCAGGTTCAAGCGATTCTCCTGCCTCAGCCTCCTGAGTAGCTGGAATTACAGGCATGCACCACCATGCCCGGCTAAGTTTGTATTTTTAGTAGAGATGAATTTTCGACATGTTGGACAGGCTGGTTTCAACTCCTGACCTCAAGTGATTCACCTGCCTCGGCCTCCCAAAGTGCTGGGATTACAGACATGAGCCACCAGCTTTATCTTAAATTTTAAAAATTAATCTATGCATCTCTATTTTTTTTTTTT